AATTTTTAGTCCTCCTGAATACCTTAGATTACCTCCATTTTATCTCCAGAATATCTCCAACCACACACTTAGAAGCAGCACTCTCCAGAATATCTCCAACCACACACTTAGAAGCAGCACTTAGATGAAGCAACCAAGCTATATTAGCCAAGCTAATGACAACAACCCTTATATAACTCCTAAAATCACCACCCACTAGGAATGTTTAACACCTGGGTAGGCCTCTGCTTATTTTCAAACAATAGCTAGCAATCAATAGTTATTATTTAGCTAATCAAATCAAATGCCTTACCAAATTACCAACAGGGAACAGCAGGAGGGGTGGGGGGGGGAGGAGAGACCACTAAAGGGACAATGGGGGGGGACTAAGCGACACTGGGGGGAGAGACCACTAAGGGACAGGGGGTGAAGTAAGACCACTAAGAGACAATGGGGGAGGGAAGGGGGGAGGTGAGACCACTAAGGGACATTTGGGGGAGGGGGGAGAGACCACTAAGGGAAAGATGGGGGGGAGAACTCTAAGGGACAGGGGGAGGGAAAAGCGCTGTGGGGCAGGGGAGAGCGCTGTGGGGCAGGGAAGAGCACGGGGGGGGCAGGGGAGATCACTACGGGACAGGAGGGGATGGGAGAGCACTACGGGACAGGAGGGGATGGGAGAGCACTACGGGACAGGAGGGGATGGGAGAGCACTACGGGACAGGAGGGATGGGAGAGCACTACGGGACAGGAGGGGATGGGACAACACTACGGGACAGGAGGGGATGGGACAACACTAAGGGACAGGAGGGGATGGGACAACACTAAGGGACAGGAGGGGATGGGACAACACTAAGGGACAGGAGGGGAGTGGAGAGTTCTAAGGGACGGGATGGAAGACCTCTAATGGACAGGGGGAGAAGTGGAGTTGAGATCACAAAGGGACAGGGGAAGTGTAAGTGATCATTAAGGAAATGGGAGAGTCTAAGACACACAGAAAGGCTGAGGAAGGGGTGAAAGAGAAGCACAGAAGGGCTGGTAGGGGAGACAGAGACACACAGAAGGGCTCAGGAGAGAGACACACTGGGTTGCTTGTGAGGGACACACACAGAGGGGCCTGTGTGGAAAAGAGACACACCAAGGAGCTGGGAAGAGAGACACAAAGGGGCTCGGGGGAGAAAGACGCGCAAAGGGGTTGAGAGGATGTAGGAGACTTACAAAGAGGGGGATAAGAGACACATAAGGGGCTTATAAGAGATACACTAAAGGGAAGTGTAAGACACAAAACAGAGAAAAAATATACAAAAAAATATATATCAACAAAATAAATATAATTAAAAAGCTGCTTCCCCTCTCAGCCCCTATCCTATCCCACAAACTCGCTCTTTCACGCTACACACATACATAATGCATCCTTACACATACACAGAAACACACATGCATCCCTACTCACACACTGAAACATACAATGCATCCTACACTCACACAGAAACACACAATTCTTCCCTTACACACAGAGAAACACACAGTGCATCCATTAAACACACAGACACACAAACAATGCATATCTTGCACACATACACAGAAGCAAACAATGCCTCCCTTACGCACGAGCATGCACATACTGCTTACAAAAACTGGTATCCCTGTACATTACATTCCATAAGAACACACACACTACATCCTCTACAATAACACATCCCCTACACATATGCACTCCACTCCCTGTGAGCAAACTCATGGGTGGGCCTTGTAGGCATAAGGCTTATGGGCAGGTCTTGTAGGCATACTCATGGTCAGGCCCTGGAGGCCCAGACTGTGATCTGTGTAAGGGGCCCTAAAAAGGGAGCTGCTTCCTGTTCGTTGTTTTTCTGAGCACTGCCTCAAGAGAGCCTGTTTTAACGCCAGACCAGTGGAGCCAAACTGCAGCCTGAGCCCATCATCATCCTCTTGTCCTCATCTGGTGGCAAGAAGGCAATTAAGTACATTATTAGTGGCACTAATCCCTAATTTACCTCACATTAAAGGGACACTGTAGTCACCAGAACCACTACAGCTTAATGTGGTTCTGGTGTCTATAACCTGTCCCTGCAGACTTTTTAATGTAAACACACTGCCTTTTCAGAGAAAAGACACTGTATGCAGCATTGGTGTTGGCTCATATGGCAGATCATATGTGTGGGGCATTGTGGTGGGGGGAAGGGACAGCAAATTTTTGTTTGCCTAGGGCGGCATAAATCCTTGCACCGGCTCTGCGTTCTTCTCTACGTGAAGCGAACCCTATACACCCATGTATCCAGTGTGTATTACTCAACTTCCTATATACTGCACTACTTAAGCGTAGTCTAGTGAGGTTCCAACTTGCTAACTTACCTCTCTCCAGTATGAATGACTAGTCTTACATATCTATGCCTACACTTTATTTAATAGTTACACATGTCAGATTAGCCTGATATTTTTCCTATTACCATTGTTGACTACCTTACTATTGCTATTGTGGCATTGAAAGTGGATTGTCATCTCATGCATAACAATAAAAAATATATAATGATTAAAAGAGCACTATCGGGTCAGGAACACAAACATTTATTCCTGACCCTATAGTGTTAAAACCACTATCTAGCTCCCTTGGCCTCCCTAAAGATAGTAAAATTTTACTTGTATTCAAGACTAAAGCTGCTGCCTCTGCCTGTGAACTTCCTCTGACCTCTGACATATTCAGAAGTGGTGGCCTGATCCAATAACAATGCTACCCCATAGGATTGGCTGAGACTGACAAGGAGGCAGATCAGGGGGCAGAGCCAGCACAATTCAAACAAAGCCCTGGCCAATCAGCATCTCCTCATAGAGATGAATTAAATCAATTCATCTCTATGAGGAAAGTTCAGTGTCTGCATGCAGAGGGGGGAGACACTGAATGTTTGGGTGCATTTTAGGCAGCCATGACCCAGGAAAGATCTCTAACAGCCATCTGAGGAGTGGCCAGTGAAGTTATCACTATGCTGTAATGTAAACACTGCGTTCTCTGAAAAGGCAGTGTTTACAGCAAAAAGCCTGAAGGTAATGATTCTACTCACAAGAACAAATTCAATAAGCTGTAATTCTGGTGACTATAGTGTCCCTTTAACTCAGGGAACCTGGGATATGCAGCCCTTTAGCTAAAGTGGTCGGATGGGGAAACATTGGAGCTGGACGGTTTCCCTGGGTAGCATGGAAGCGTCCTGCTCAGGGAGCATGTAGCCGACCGCCCTGGAGAGCATTGAGGTGGCCGGCTGAGGGAGCATGTAGCCAACCGCCCTGGAAAGCATGGACGCCTGGAGGTGGCAGGCTAGGGCAGCGCGAGAGGGAGCAGTGATCCTACTGCAGCTCCTCTCTGCTCCCTCACACTGTAAATTGATGCTGGGAATCAGAATGTGACGTCATTACGGCCCCAAAATCACTACAGGGAGCAGAGCGGAGTTGCAGGTAGATTACTGCTCCCTCGAACATAAGAAGAGCAGCCCCACTGGACCCCAGGGAAAGTCCACTTAGCTCTCCCAAGGGTAGGGAGGCTGGATGAATTCAAATTAAAAATGTCAATGTGTGAGGAAAAAGTGTGTATTTCAGTGTAAGTTTGTGAGAAAATGTGTGTGTGTAGGTCAGTGTATGTGTGAGTTTGTGAGAAAATGTGAGAGGATATTGCGCATATTCTCTATGGGTAACATTCAGCACCTCCATTCAGAGCGTGCAGACGCTGAACAAAGGTGCTGCACACTGTGCAGAACTGGCACAGGACTCTAGTGGCCATCTGAGTGTCTGTCTCTAGAGGTGTTACTACGCAGCAATGTAAACACTGCCTTTTCTCTGAAAATCTAGAGTTTACATTGAAAAGGCTACAGGGACAGGTTATAGGCACCAGAACAACTACATTAAGCGGTTCTGGTGACTATAGTGTCTCTGTAAGAATTTTAATATTTATTGTAGTAAATTAAACTTGCTCCTAACTTTTTTAGCTGGCTCCTAGATTCCAAGCAAATGTGTCAAGCCCTGAATTAACTGTACCACTGATATACATTCATTGTTTTTCAGAAATAACTTCAAATCTACATGGCAAAACTTTAATCAAGGTTTTACTTTTTTATCCTAAATTTTACCATTCAGATTTTAAAGGGGCACTATAGGCACCCACACCATTTCAGCTCATTGAAGTGGTCTGGGTGCAGTGTCCCTGTCAGTTTAATCCTGCAATTGTCATTATTGCAGTTATTGATAAACTGCAATAATTACATTGCAGGGTTAACTCAACCTCTAGTGGCTGTTTTCCGGGTCTTTATGTAACTTTTGGTTGCCTGACGCTGGATGTCCTCATGATCTGCATGAGGGCATCCACCGTCAGCTAAAACCGCCTTAGGAAAGCATTTAGTCAATGCTTCCCTATGGGCTTGTCCTTATGCGATTGCGGCGCATGTGCGTTATGTCCCCAAATATCAGGGGAGGAGGAAGGGAGCCTGACCCAGTGCAGATTTGTATTCTTAGCCTATAGTTTCCCTTTAATTGGAAACCTTTCAGAATTTAGAGAATAACAGGATCTAGTATTTCTGAATATACACATGCCCATTTCCACAAGTTCACACAAAACAGTGCAGATGTCAGTTTCCATGGGCAGAATATGGATAATAATCGAACTTACTGAGAAATAAACAGACTCTTACCTAAAGCCCCAGGAAGCAGCAAAACGGCATGATCGCCCCGCCCTGTGCGCTGGAAATGAAGATTAACGCCATTAACCTCCAATTTGGCAGACACAATTGCAGTGCTGTAGAAATAGAAGTGAACCTGGGTCTCAACAATCTGTATAGCCCTTGAACATTTGGAATACAGAATATTTTTATATTGCTCATGAAGAACAAGGATTGATAAAATGTAAAAAAATAAAAAAATAACCTTTTCATAACAGATTGATAGTGAAATAAAAAAGGCAAATATAAGATTAACTTTGTTAAAGCCAAAAGTTTTCATTTTAAATCAGCTATGCAATGTCAAGTATCTGTTCAGTGTTAAATATTGATTGTTCATATACCTATTAAAATAGTACCATTAAAGTGAACCTGTCATGGCAAGTTTACTTTAACTAATAACACCTACTTACACAGTGAATATATAGTTTATCATAGTATCATAAAAAATATATTTAATTACTTTAGGAAAGGTCAGATGGCTACTTACCTACTATCCATCAGCAAGAGAGCAGTCATTTCAGCAGCTATTTGGATGTTGCACCATTGACAGTTCTGCGATCCTCCTGCCCACCCTACCTTTTGGCTGGCCCTACTTGAGGACAAGTCCCCAATGCTGCACAAGCCTCTTAGTTAATGTCAGAATGCTAGTTTTACTTCCAGCATGTCAGTATCAAACCAGGGTGTTGTTCACTTCATTCTCATATTCCCTCAGTTACTGTGAGAAAGGTTTCCTAGGGAAATATCTGCCACAACCAGTAGCAGAACCAGCTGTAGGAGGGTTTATCCAGCTCTCCCATAATTTGGTGCCCCGTCTTTAAGTTTTTATCTCACCTATCTCTTGTCGAAGTTCTCACCAGGCCAGATCCTCCTCCTAGGGCCCTTTTGGCGAAACAATTAGATCACGTTAAAAACAAGAGTAGAGAGGAGTGCCTAGGTCCAAGACGTAAAGATGAGAAAGATAAAAGATTGAAATTAATTTCCAGATTTGGGAGACTTTCATCTTCTCTCAATAAAATTATCTTTAAATACTGGCATGTCTTGTCTGACTGTCATCCTGACATTCCTGAGTTTAATTTAAGACCCATGATAGCCTATAAGAGGTGTCCCTCTTTAAAAGACAAATTGGTGAGAGCAGAATTACCACTTATTAAGCCGGATATGACAAAAAAGGGCAATTTCACATGTTATGGCTGTGTGTCAAGTCATTCCATGATACAAGGCCAATGGTTTTATCATCCATACAGTGGTAAGAAATATCTGTTAAAACATTTTTTTTTTTTTTTTTTATAATTCTTTATTTTTCAGTGCTTAAGTTTAATGATACAAACATTGTATGGATATGTCACAACAGCAATTGCATGAGGTATAGCAGTAGTCTAAGCATCCTGCAGTTGGAGCTAAGATGGTCTGTGCACTTTTGTATTACGTAGGACTGGGTAGTCGGAACGAGTTGGTCGCCCGTGCCAGTGGGGATTGTGATTGTGTTGGCTAGTGTTATTGGTAGATTTCACCAATGTTGGTATGACACTGGTACAGGAATTGCGCTGGTAAGCCTCCTATTCCTTTGTGGCCGTGTGGTGTGTATAGAGTTGGATATTAGAATAAGGACTTGGGGTTTGAGTGTCGTCTATGTGTGGTTGATTCGGATTTCAGAGTATGGGTATCCGTGCCGTCGTGGGGCTGAGCTCGTTGAGACTGTGGAGGGAGACTATGTGTTTTGAGTAGATTAGATCACTCTAGTGAGTATGTGCTCCATCGATTGCTATGCCCCTTGACCCCGAGGCATTAGGTGGGGGGTCAGTGTGTTGCTTTACCGCCTTAAGGCTACAGGGTTATGGAACCCTTTCCAGTGGAGGAGTTGAGTGCCTAGTGAAAGGTAGGTTATTTATAACTTGGTATAGTGAGTGAAACATGAATCTTTAGCAGTAAGAGAAAAAGAAATAAAAAAAATAAAAAACCCACTTTTAGGTAACAATAACAGAAGAAGGTTTGTTGTGTGTTCAGTCCAGGCTTTATGTCACGGGTCCAGGGTGCAAAGTGTTCGCTCCTATAGCGTTGTTGGAGAGCCCCAGCGTGGTCAGCAAGGCCGGTCCTTCTTCCGCATTGGTGATCTTGTAGTGTTGGTTGCCTTTCGTCACCCATCTGTAGACGAGGCCCGCTGCCTGCAGGGTAGTGGTCACAGGCTGCATGCTCTTGCGCCATGTTAATGTGTCCCTGCACAGGTCCTGGAAGAAGGTGATTTGCTGTGTTTCGAAGCTGTAGGGCGCCTTCCCTTTTATGGAGGTTATTAGGGCTATTTTGTCCGTCAGGGTTTGGCATCGTAAGAGTACGTCGCGTGGGGCTGTCTTGGGTGCCCGTTGCGGTTTGGCTATGCGGTATACTCCATCAAATAGAAAATGTTTTGCTTGCCTGTTGGGAATGAGTGAGGCCACCAGGCGCCTGATAAAGTGGGGTAGTTCCTCCAGTGGCACCGATTCCGATATCCCCCTGATTTTAATATTTTTCCTCCTACCCCGGTCGTCTAGGATGTTTACTTGCCTGGAGATGTTAGCTTGTGCTGTTTGTAGCTGGGCGACTGTGTCTGTTAGGGAGTTTAGGTCTTGGCGCAGGTCTTTCACTTCTTGTTCTGTGGCCTGGGTTCGGGCCAACACCTCCTGCAACTCTGCTGCTAGCCCCTTTAACCTACAACATTAGTTGTAGGTTACCTTGGAGTCCCTCCAGCATGGCCTGGATGTCCTGTTTTGTTGCTGGGGCTAGTCCATCGGTAGCTTGTATTTTTGAATTGCCTGTGTTGGCCGCCGCTGTGCTGTGTTCTGAGTCTCCATCTTCAGACCTCTCAGGTGAGGCTGCCGTGTTAGCCCGGGTCTGTGCGGGTGGAGGGTTCTGCAGCATGCTGCTTATGTCCCGGTGTGGCGTGGAAGCGCTTGTGGCTGGTTTGTGGGACCTCCATCCCATTTCTTCCGATGTGTGGAAGTCTGCTTCTGTGAGCTGCGAGCTCCGGTCAAGCCACGCTGTCAGCTCCCTGGTGAGGTACTGGTCGCGTGTGCGGTAGGCCCCCGGTCCCTTGATGCGGCTTTTCGTGCCCGACTTTTGAAAGAAAGGCATCTGCGGGTTCAGCAAGGTGTCAGGAGGTTGTGCTTGTCGCCTGTTGTAGTCGATGATCTGCGGGTGTGCCGTTATTTCAAGTTTTTTGCGCTGGCTGTGCGGAGCTCTTGCAAATGGCGACTGCTTCGTTGTGTCGTTGGCTCCACCCCCCCGTTAAAACATTTTTTGACATGTAATTCTTCACATGTAGTCTATATTCTCAAAATGTCCATGTGGCTTTCTATATGTAGGACAGACTACACAAAAAATGAAAGAGGTTCTCTAAGCACAAATCCACGATACGGACCAAAATGATTGAACTGCCTTTACCATCTCACTTTTCTGAAGCAAAACAATATTTCTCAGCTTAAATTTCAAATGATTGATCATGTCCCTGAAACTCTTAGGAGGGGGGATAGGATTAACAAATTTCTTATGAGGGAAACATTTTGGATCAGGGAGTTGGATACACTATTTCCTAAAGGGCTGAACCAAAAATATGATTTGTTACCTTTAATTTGAAGATTTTATCATTATTGATTTGGTTTTATATACAAATTATACTTAATTATTTTTTTTTATCTCCACAGGCTATTTTATGGCCTGGCTGGTTTGGGTTCCTCTCTCTCCTCACCTTTTTGAGAGACCTTCTTTAGATCATCTGCTGCTTCATAAGAATTTCTACATATGCTGACTGATCACTCTGTTATTGGGATCCTGTCCTTTCCACATATTCCCCACATATTCTGGATTTGAAATATATCCAGTTTAGATCATTTCTATAATGAGTAAGATTGTTAATGTATAAACAATATTTTATTCATTCATTTTCAAACATGAGGACATATATAGACACTGTGCATTTTAATATGTATGTATTTATTAGCTTTTTGCTCCCAGTTTGTGTACTGTGTTTAATTATACATTTATGTATACATTTGTTTATGCATTTGCTATTGGTCTGCATGATTGGCTATTTATATCAAGTAGACATTATCTCTTATCGCAGTTAATTCCAGTATGCAGCCGTCGGTCATTATCAATGATCACGAAAACTATATTAACCGAAGTACCAGTTTCATTCAATCACTATCCTCTGATGAAGTGACCCTGCTGAGTCATGAAACGCGTTAGGCTTTACGGCAGTAGCTGCACATACATCCAGAAACCGAGTCCCAGTGAAACGCACGCGATGGGAACATCACCTCTTCCCTCATATCCAAACCTTCTAACCGGCCAGAGGAAGATCTTCCACCATTATTTCAACAATCTCACGATCCTGCTGATCCCTAAAGACTCTACAGCTGCTTTACAACACTGCCACTTTGTGAGTGTGTCTTGTCTTCACTGTAATACATTTGTAAGTTTTAATGGAAAGCACTATGGGTGTTTGTTATACATTTCAGATTACAGAGAAGATTCTATCACTATAGATCTGTGTGTGTGATCGAAGAGTGATTGTCATTTTTATTGCAAAATACGAAAACTTTTTTTCTGCATCTAAAAGCTTCATACCATACTTGTTATATGGTATCAAATTTGATACATTATAGCTCATGTCATTTTATTTTGGCAACTGCACATTGTGCCAGCTGTGATATTGTTACTAATTGACTGTGTCTGCACCGTTTGGACTATAACGTATTTAGAGACTTATATTGGACATTTATTTTCCTCTATGATTCAAACTTATGATCATCACCCTTACACTTGTATTAGAGGGGTCTGATAAAATCTAGAAGTGTGATTCAAAGATTATTTTTGCAGTATTCCTTTGTTGCCCTTCCAACCCACTATTTAGTCAGCCATTCCCTCAAAGTGGCTTGTATAGTTTTTAAACCTATATTTCTAACATCTAAATTTATCTGCATCCAGCTGAGAAGGGAAGAAGCCTGGTATTTGGATTTTTCACCTATCCATTCCAACAATTATCTTGTCATATGCCGATTAATTACCAATTTTATTTATTTTAATTATACCTCCTATGCTCATAGTTTATTTGTATATTATCTATTTATGCCTGCTGAGGACAGTCTGAGTTATAGAGTTAATCATAGAGTGTTTTGAGTTATCTGGTAGGTGATCTCCTAGTACATGTAGGATTTTCATATTATCCTGTAACCCACAGATATCTAGACAAGTCTTCCTTGATGACTCCTTGGGCATGAGATGGCAAGGGAACCGAGGTGAAGATCCAATTAAAGTCCCACAGGTATAACTAGTATACCTGGATATGACTTGTCTAGAATGCTCACCTGTGGCACCAGAAGAGGGGAATTGTCATAGATAAAAGTAAATAAAGTGTTAAAATCTTCGCCCTAGTTAGCTCCTTCCACGTCTGCAGGGGTTAAAAGCTAAATTCTTCACTCATGTTTGTGTCAGCAGTTTCTGCAGCTGCTTCTTCTTCTTTCTCATGAAATGTTACTTTGATTTTAAACCTTGGTATTCTAGATAAAAAGACATTCAAGTAATTGCTTGTTTTCATATACACATGCGCAGTAGACTAATGCCATTTTATATACATATACAACGCATTAAAACCTTTGAATGCTGATTGATAATCCATCTGAGTGGTGTTCAGTGAGTATTCCCAGCAGCTGATTTCACAGAGACAAGGAAAGCAGAAACGTGTTAGTGCATAGGTCCATGGCAGCATAAGGGTTTCCAGACCCTGTTGAGATTTTTCATCCTAACATTGACATAGATCCCCAATGCTTCCCTATGAGATTATATCTTGTACTTATCCTATAAACTCCTGTCCAGCAGGGGGTTATTCCCTCCAGATGCAGTTTAAATCATCACACAAACTGATGTATGAACGGAGAGCAGCCATATTGCAGCTGTTGCCAGATTAAACACAGACTAGTTCACAGGCACTGGCGTGTTAGTGCACTGGCGTGTGTTAGAGTCAGCAAAGCTGTTGACCACAGCTCTCTCTTCGTGGGTCAAAACCAATATAAGGCGCTGAACATTCAGGCTGTGTGACAGCACGAAGGGGTTGGGTTAGAACTTCAGCAATTTTTACAAATGACGTGGGAAAAAGGTGCTCTATTAAAGGAACACTTAAAGCACCATAACCACTACAATGCGCTGTAAAACTTGCTTTGACTTCGAAACCGTATGTCTGCTGGGTGCTGCTCCTTCCTCCATTACTTGTGGCAGAGTTAAACAGTTCAATCCCTAAAGATGAGCAAGTGCCAGGGGTTTCCTGGCACAATAATTCATTGATGAAGTTGTGTGATAGAATTTATCTTGATTCCAAGGCTCAAGCTTATAGGTGTCATATAATGATATCCTATAATAAAATTGGCTAACTTGGACTCAGGAAATGATTGATGCTTCACACGACACTTAAGACCTTTTATGTCTAGTTCCGGGAGCAGATAGAACACAAAGATTAGAGAAGAGAAATCTCAGGTGGGGGCTTTCTCGGAACGTATTTGTTATATGTTCATCCCTATGTCTTATCTGTACTCCCTTCCTATTACTGTTCTATGAGTATTTGCACGTAAGCACTTACTTTTTAATGTATGATACCCAGCTGATGAATAAAACGGCAGAGGCTTATTTTGAATACCAACAGGTGTCTGGTGTCTAATTCTCGCTTCTCCAAGTGCACTTGTAATAATAATTTGGGCTGTCTCTGAATATAACAAAGATCATTATTTGGATCTACAACAGTTGTTATGGTGACCAAACTGGTCCTTTAAGGATCTTATAAGGGAATTATGTGAGTTTAGGCTGACCAATGCATATTTGGAGAATGGAAGATGGACAGAGGGCCAGCTGCTCACTGAAGCTATCTTCCTTTAGTTAAAAGTCCACAATTTGCACTATAATCCCTAAAGTGTATATTAATGGTTATGGTTCAAGAAGTCGTTTAGATCAGTTCCTCATTTTTTTGTCTAACAAAAAAAAAAAAAAATTCTACGTCCACTAAAATAATGAGGACATTCACTTCTTTATCCTTCTAAATTTGGATGATAGGCCAATATCCCTGGGCTAAGTCACCCCCAGCATTTCACTATGATCCAAACGTGTTCAGATGCTTTGGCAGTGTAACTTCAACAATTTCTCAGCAACAAAAATGGAGCCAGACTTTGGGTGCTAGGAGAGCCCTCTGTTCTGTCAATGTTTTTACAAAAAACTGTCATGACTGTACCCAAAGCTGTGTGCATCATAACTACTACTATAAAAGAGTAGCAGTCATAGGGTCGGTCTTGCGGACTACATAAGGAGAAGCCCCATGAGGTTTGATGGAGCGAAGTGGGTGGTAAGTATAGCGCTCGCGCTGGGGGTTAAATGCAGGATAGGGTTAATTGCAAGGCAGCTCGCACTGGCAGAAAAGGCGGCAAGCTCGCGACTAGGGCATGAGCCCTGATTGGTAGATAGCAGCGTGAGGACAATATTGGAGGGAAAATAAGGGGTATAAATTAAAGGGCGCCAAAATTAATTGCCTCAGCTTGTGCCAGACAAATCTGAAGGTTGGCTATGTTAAATTATTTAAGCTGCTGTTTTTTACCTTTGGAGATGTCTGGCACAATTGAGGCATTATTAGAACAGCTTAAACAGAAGGCTTTAGGCTGCAGTGATACTGCATGGCCTGCATGGCTGCAGGCTTGCTTGGAGTCCGCCCACAGCACCTCCGGTCTAACTGAAGTAGAGGAAGAAGAGGGGGCTGAGCTACAGGAGGAGTCAATAATGGAGGAGGGAGCAGTATATTCTCCTCTAAAAATTTAAGGGCCAGTACAAGAAAGAAAATCTGGTGATAGCGACCCCTGCAGGATTCGTGAGGCAAGAACGAAGAGGTCCAGGGAAACCTTCTCACCGTCTCCAATAAAGAGTAAGAAGAGGATGTGGAAACAGAGCAGAAAATACGAACAAAAGAAGAAGAATAAAGTGGCTGAGGACAGACCAAGGATATTCGAAGAAAGCGAAGCGGCTCAGGATATCTCGGGTTGCAGTCATGAGCTGGGTGAGTTACAAATAAATGTTAATAATGCTGTTTTAGGGGAAGTGGTGTCTTCACTTGAAAAACTTACTAAATTATTACAGACACCTAAATTAGCGAGAGTATGGGAGCCTGATACAGAAGTGGTCACAGTTAATCCGAAAGTGACACATTCTATGAGGGAAGAAGTTAGAGTTAAAGAGACATGCATGAAAGAAGCGTTAGGTTCTGAAAGGTCCCCTTTGGGTTTTCATTTAAGCAAGTCAATAAAAGATAGGATATGGAAAGGGGAGTATATTGATATTCTATCATTATTGCCCACAGCTAGAGAATTTACTAAACAAGATAGGGAAAAAGGGGATGAGGAGAGAAAAAAGTTTATTCCTAGGTCATGCAATAATTGGCTGCAAGCTTTTTGCATTTATTCTAGTGTGTTAGGTGAAAAATATCCAGAATTGTGCTGTGGGCTATTTCAACATGCAGAAGCTATTTTGGAAGCATATAAAAAAAAAAAAATTGTCATGGTTTTACTATGACGAACAATTCCGACAGAAACTAGCAGTGCATAGCAACCTTAAATGGGGTATGAAGGATGTCGGACTTTGGGTGAGCATGATGTTACCTCAGAGACAGCCTTATTTTGTTAATAAGCAGGTTACAAATGCTGCACAGAAAAAAAGCTTTTGCTGGGCTTGTAACGAATCCCAATGTAAGTGGCTAAATAATTGTAGATTCTGGCACGAATACGCTACCTCTTCAGGTGCGCATCCTAATTTTCGCTCTATAAAAGAGGTTAGCAAAGTGGTACATTTCCAAAAAACTCAGACCCCAGTGAAATTGGTAAGGTTACTACCTTATCTCGTAATCTATCCAAACCGGGAGAAAGCCAAATTAATAAAGGAAGGTTTTGAAAATGGTTTCAGGTTACCTGTATATAGTTCTGTTAAATTTTTATTTATTTTTTCAAATCTTTTTATTGAAGGGTAAAAAGTTAGGGAACAGAGATCGAGGCTCGCAGGCCCCATAAAAGCATTTTGGCATATTAAAGCGCAAACCGTATATCAATTTAATACAATATATGATCAATATGAATGCGATACAGTGTTTAATTACCTGTTAAATTTTGTTGGGTTGAAAATTTAAAATCATTTTTAGAGTTACCAAGTTTGGCCTGGGAAAAGATTTGTAGAGAGTTAGAGTTAGGGAGAGTTGAAAGCCCTTTTAAATGTTCCCCCATTTAAATGTTTTCGGTTATCCCCTCTGGGTTTGGTACCGAAGAGAGAACCTGGGTCATATAGACTAATACATCACCTATCATACCCTAAGGGAGGATCTTTAAATGACATGATTTCTAGAGAAGAAAGTTCAGTGTCTTACTCAACTTTTGATAAGGCTTTAAATTTAGCAAGAAAATGTGGAAGGAGTGCATTGATGGCAAAAGGGGATATGGAATCTGCCTTTCGACTTCTGCCGATTCAGCCCAAATCCTTCAATTTGCTAGGTTTTCAATTCAAGGGCCAGTATTTTTTCGATAAGTGCTTGCCTATGGGTTGTGCGCCATCATGTTCTTATTTTGAGACCTTTGCGACTTTTATGGAATGTATTATTCGGTATGAATGAGGTCAGAAGCAAGTAATGCATTACTTGGATGATTTTTTATTTGTGGGCCCTAAGGATAGTGACAATTGTAAGAACTTACTAGAAACATTCAGAAGGGTGGCTGGTCATTTAGGAATTCCATTAGCAGAGGATAAAACTGTTTTACCCACGTTTTGTTTTAATTTCTGGGAATAATTATTGATTCAATAAAAATGGAATTTAGGTTGCCAGAAGATAAGATACTGAAAATGAAGACGCTGATCCAGCAGGTAATGGGCTGTGAGAAGGTGACACTAAAAGTTTTACAATCTCTATTAGGTGTGTTAACATTTGCTTCAAGGGTTATTCCAATGGGGAGAGCTTTCTCCAGGAAGTTGGGGATAGCAATGACTAAGGTTAAGTCCCCATTTGCACACATTAGGGTAACAAAAGAATTGAAGCAAGACCTAAAAGTATGGAATAATTTTCTAACAGATTTTAATGGAAGATCAATGTGGCAACAAGAGTTCATAGATTCTGATAGTCTTGAGCTGTTTATAGACGCATCTGGTGCTATCGGTTTTGGCATATATTGGGATGGACAATGGTGTGCACAAGAATGGCCGGTTCTTTGGGCACGGGAAGGCTTAACCAAAAATTTTACATTGTTGGAATTATTTCCAATTGTAGCTGCAATATATTTATGGGGAGGAGCATTGAAAAATAGGCAGCTGATTGTCACATGCGACAATCTAAGTGTAGTGATGGTAATTAATTCCTTACAGTCTAGGTGTAATAGGGTTTCAATTTACTTAGACACTTAGTGTTAGGGGTTTTCAGTTGAACATATGGGTGAAAAGTAGGCATATACCAGCAAAATCAATAGGCTGGCTGCTCTTTCACGATTGCAATTGCAGGAATTTCAAAAATTGGCACGAAGAGCAGCTGCGGAAGGAACCCAGTTCCCGTCAGACCTCTGGGATTTGATTGGAGTCAGTTAAGTGTTATGCTGATGAACTCGGTAGCTGCTTCTACTTGGAGTGCATATGTCAGGGCATGGAATGAGTGGTTCAAATTTAATCAGTTAAACCAGTGGTAGTCAACCTTTTTCTACCTACCGCCCACTAATGCATCTTTCTTGGTGGAAAAATTTTCTTATCGCCGACCAGTTTTCGCGCAAGTGCAGAATATTTTTTAGAAAGGAGGGTGTTTTAAAAAAAAAAAAAAAATGTACGTACATTTATCTTTTTATTTCTACTTAATGCATGTTTATAATGTTTTTAACTTTATAAAGTTTAATTGGAAAACAATAAAGTAAATTGAAATTACCTTTACTAGTGATTAATGAGATCCTTGAGGCTGATGCTGCAAGACTAAATATTTGATATCTGGTTCGATTTTCATAGGGAACAAACAAAGGTCTCCTCTTTCGGTGATATTCAGACGACTTCTCTGTTTGCGCATAATATGATTTCTCATCTGTGCGTCAGCTAATCTCATCTGCCTCCTCAATTCCCCTCCCCACCTTTTTTATCCCTTTTTCTGTTTTTTAACCTTCCTTATAGCAATGCCCAGTAAAAAGGCTTAGCTAGGTAGCCCACTTACTATAGCCCACTATAACAGACAGGAACACATACAAACAGACAGGCACACATACATACATACAGAAAAACAGACAGGCACACACACACAAGACATACATACATACAGACAGATACACATACAAAGACACACACATAAGACAGATAGACACACACACGACATACAGACACACACACACGACATACCTACAGACACACACACACACACGACATACCTACAGACACACACACACGACATACCTACAGACACACACACACACACAAGACATACCTACAGACACACGACATACAGACACACACACGCACACACGACATACAAAGACACACACACACACGACATACAAAATATTTTAGTCACCCTCTTGTTTCCTACCTTTTATGTGCAGGAGGGTGACTTTCCCTGGGGTCCAGTGGTGGCTCAGGTGCATGGGAGTCAGAGTTCCTACTCTGACTCCCTGGTCTTCCTCCCGCGCGGTCTGTTTGTTAGCTGGGAGGAGTGACGCGCAGTCACTTCCTCCCAGCGTGTGATGTAATAACAGGGAGCCCAGTCGCGCTGTTAAAGCTCCCAGAGCTGACCGGGCCCCCTCTCAATCCACATCCATTGGGTGGCCCTGTCAGCATGGGCATCCCGATGGACCCCTTGGACGGCGGCCCCGGCGGTTTGCCATGCAGGCCGAGGGCGCGAATGGGGACGGCGGTACCTGGCCGCAGGGGTACCGCCGACTCGCACCCGCCCTCCCGTCCACCCAATATCTGAAATCCCTACCGCCCACCTGGAATCCTGAAACGCCCACTAGTGGGCGGCAGGGACCAGGTTGACAACCCATGAGTTAAACAATAAAGATCCGTTTGGAGAGGAAAAGGAGAGTGCAATACAATTTACATTGGTGTCAATGCAGAAGGGTTTCTCTAAGTCCAAGTTAGCGTGTCGTTTAGCCGGGGTGGATTTCTTTAGGAAGCTGTGTGATTGTAAACCAATCAAGCAGTATTTCATAGTGAATCAGTGAGTCCGAGGTTATAGAAGAGCCAGTAGAGTTAGGGATAATAGAAAACCAATATCGTTTACAGTGTTATCACAGTTATTTGTAGTCTTGGAAGAGGTATGCTATTCTGAGTATGAGGTAGTTTTAATTAGATATTCATTTATAATAGCTTTTTTCGCAGCTTTAAGAATTAGCGAGTTAGTGGCTAAGAGTAAATTTTGTTTGTCGGGTATACAATGGGAAGATATTATAGATAGTGATAGGAAAGTGATGGTATTTATTAGCAAATCTAAAACAGATCAGGAAGGCAAAGGAAGATGGTTAACATGGAGATTCAAGGTTCCTTTTTGTGTACGGTTAAGGTGACCGAAAATTACTTGTCAGTTAGACCAAGGGTTAAAGGACCATTTTTCATGCATAGTGACACCATTCCTTTGACTACATTTCAATTTACAAAGGTCTTTAGGTTATGCATAGATAAGTTTAAGTTAGGCGATGAGCGTTATTCATCTCATTCTTTTAGAATTGGAGCGGCAACGGAAGCAGCAAGGTGTGGTTTAAGTGATGGAATGATTCAAAGGTTGGGGAGATGGGAATCTAAATAGATTTCAACTATACGTTAGGCCTCATTTGATATAAAAAAAAAAAATTGTTTATCGGCTCAATGTTATTAAAGTTTATTGATGAATATGAACATTGGCATATATGCTAATAATTTTCTTTTGATAGGTAATAAGAAGCCGGCGATTGCCTGGGTAATTGGTCACTCGTTTATATTTTGGGCCCAGAAGAGGGCAAAAGAACGGTCATATGGTGAAAATCTTGGATTAGAAAGCAATGCTGTTAAAGTCTTTTGGAAAGGAATTTGTGGGGCTAAGTGGTCTCAATTATTTGAAATAATACAACAATGTATGTTAAGTTTTCCTTATTCAGAGGTGATAATAGTTCATTTGGGAGGGAATGATATTGGCTCAACAAAATCAGTCAAATTTGATGAGATTAAAAGTGATTTGGTATGCATAACACAAATATTTCCAGATGTTCGGTTCATCTGGTCGGAGATTATCCCAAGGCATTGATGGTTAAAAGTACGTTTTTTTTAAAAACCATTGGAAAGGTTACAAAGGAAAGTAAATAGAGCGTTGGAAAATGTTTTACCAACCTTGGTTATGACCTCATATAGACATAGGTATATTGAGGGCAATTGCGCTGGCTTTTACAGGAGCGATGCAGTTCACTTGTCAGATATTGGTTTGGATATATTTAATTTGGAGATTCAATCTATGTTGGAGATGGCCGTGGGCGTTGGGGGGCCACCGAGTTTGGTAGCCCAGAACCTCGGTGGCGTTGGGATATAAGTCGCCCTCCTGGTTATCACAGGAGGGTGGATTTGGTTGAAGAGATATTTATGGCTCCTGGCTTTGGAGGGGGCAGAGCCTTGGAAAGTGGTTATGGTTAATATGTTGGTTTTTAAATTTATGGTTTATTATTATTCATATGGTTATGGTTTAATTGGAATTATGAAATCTGTAATAAAAGGTTCACGGCCATTCTCCAAGGTGTATCATTAAAGTTATTAAATAAACATTTTGATTGGAAAAGATTTGCTTGTGGTTGTTTATGTTTCACTTCGATTGCAACATTCAAACCTCATGCTTATCGTGCCCCTTTAAGGTAACACTCCAAGCACCATAGAGTATGACAACTTAACAAAGCTGTATTCCTACACTATAAAAACCCTTTAGTCACTTACCCAATTTCCATTGTCTTAGTACTGCAAGGTAATCATTGCAGTTTCTCTAAAACTGCAATGATTTACATTGCAGGACTAAGTGGGCAGGGACACTGGACCAAGACCACTTCAATGAGATGAAGTGTTCTGGATGACTATAGCGTCCCTTTAAGCAGATACATCAGACTTCGAATGCAGAAGACTGCATGCAGCACAGGCACCCAAGTAAGACATACATGTTGAAATAGCTTGACAAATTACATTGGGAGTGTCATGGTGTCCCCAAACTTTCAAAGATGGAGCCTGGCACTAACTCTTTTCCCAGGCTACTCGGACAAATAGTACATATCTTTTCACTCAGTTTTCTGAACGGGAAACGAGAGCATCCGCTGACTTTCTCAACCAATCAGTGGCGCCTTGTCTGAGGCTTCCTGATCAAAGTAAAAATAGAAGTAGAAACAGAGTGCAAAGAAAACTGGTGGCATCTTTGAAAATATGGGGTTAAAACCATTTGTACATTGCTTAACCCCATAAGGTAAGACACTGCCTGGATCTCCATTCTCCACTGTAACAACTGCATTACAATGAAGCTGTTGTGGAACCCTTATTGATCATTTAAGTAATTTCTATTTTCCTGGTATGTCAGTAACACATGCTTCTCACAAAACATTCTCACTCTCAGCATGTAATATCTGATTGGGATCAGGGAACATTCTCTGATACAATGGATTTGGCAGAGTTTACAGCATTTCACAGCATTGTGATCAGTGACATGACTGGTGTAGCAGGAGGATACTGACATTAAAAAAATTACCCCAACACATTGAAGGAAACGTGAAATAGCACACTGCTGTATGAAACAGAAATTCGAGTTATTGACCCCCTCCCCCAATAATTGTAACAGTAAAGGGCATAGTATTGTGCCCCAGTGAATACAGGACACAGGCACACAGGGTTAATTGGTCATTGTCCTGGTCCCTGCAGCAGCCATGCTCCTCTCAGCAATATCTCTATACAGTATCCAATACAGTGGCGGGTTTCCCACTTATTAAAGCACCGTCTATGTTACCAGTAAGGAGCTGCAGGCTGGGGAGGGTGCGATGGCCGAAGCGCGCAGCGCAGTGATCCTATAGAAGGACGTAACGCCGCCCAGGCAGAGGTCAGCGCCATATTCCCACTCTGGCTGATACAGGCAGGAGAGGGGAGGCTAGCCACGCCCCCCTGGGATCTCACTGGGGGAGTGTGCGCTGATCCCGCCGCTGATTGGACTGATCAGTTCTGACATGCTCTCTATTGCCACCTAGAGGCCCCTCCTAGCATTGCAAGGGAGACATTTGGCGTAGTTTGGAAACGATTGAAAGCCACAGACCGCGCTGGTGTAGGAGAATGAGTAATGCTATTTTAGCTGCATTTAACAAAATATGTATGTCTGTCTTATTCACAGGAATTATTTGGGAGTTAAGGGTTGTGCTTACTAAATACAAAAAGTGTTTCTAAGTACTTTAAGCAACATTATAGTTACTAAAACAACTTTAGCTTAAAGGGACACTGTAGCATCCAGACCACTTTAGCTAATTGAAGCCGTCTGGGTGCAAACTCCCATCACCCTTAACCCTGAGCATGTAATTATTCCAGTTTTTATAAACTGCAATAATTATTTGCTAGGGTTAACTCCTTCTCTAGCGGCTGTCTACCAGACAGCCACTAGAGGGACTTTCGGGAGGATAGATCACCTAAACAACACTGGACATCCTCACACTATGCATGAGGACTTCCAGCGTGGGCAAAGCTGAGCCAGCGCAGAGGGACATTGGCGCTGGACCCAGGTAAGTGACAGAAGAGGTTATTAACCCCTTCTGCACCATGGGGGGAGAGGGCGTGACAGAGGGGGAAGCAATAGTGCAAGGGAAACAAGTCTGTTTTCCTGGCACTATAGTTTCCCTTTAGGGAAGCAGTTTTGGAATAGCCTTCCAGCTGAAGTGGTAGAGGTTAAAACAGTGAGGGAGTTTAAGCATGCATGGGATAGGCATAAGGTTGTCCTAGGAAAAGAAGGAGGAAAATCAGCGCTCAACTGCCACACAAATAAATAAAAAGGCAGCACTTCTCGGAGGGAAATCCCCTATAATCCCCCGGTTATTAGAAGATAAAAACAAATAAAAAGAATAAGAATGTGCCTAAAAATTATAATAAAGCATATGCAGAATATAAAATAATATAGAGTATAAAATATTAAAATTATAAAAATAAACAATAAGAAAAAGTCCAAAACACTTATCAAGAGTCCGTAATAATAGGTTCTTATAGGAGGACAAGGACGTCTGGCGGTGTAGAATCTTCACAATGGTAGGCTCGGATCCAGTGGAGAATATATGAAAGGGAAGCAGAAACAGGAACTCCAATGGTACAGTATATCAATGAAAATGAAATTCTAGAATAGTGAAAATAGCCGTACTCACACTTTTCAGAGCTAGATTATAGATTCTGGCCCAGATTCGGTGTTCAAATAAATATTATTCGACCCAAAATGAGAGAATGAGAATATAGTGCTCTCTGTATATGATTGAACGTAAGAATATAAAGTAAATAACTTACATTCTCTAGAGCAGACTCGTACTGCTCAATGTAGACGTTTGGGTGGTATAATCCCCACCTATAGATTCTTTAGGCTCCTTGTGGATATAGGTCAGGTGCAAAAATTAAAATAAAAGAAAATAAAGAAAAATGGCAATAAAGTGTCTTATGCCAAATTAAATTCTTTATTATAAAGTAATTAATAAAATATCTAAAATATCTAAACGCGTTTCACCTCAAAAGGCTTCTTCAAGTAGATAATAATAAAAGGAAGGCACACCTGACATTCAAAGGTTTATATAACATACAATAATACTATGGGGATTCGAAGTTCCCGCCAGAATGACGTCATCAAAATATTGGTATTATAATAGAACTGAAAACCAGGGAGCCCCCCGCGGCACGTCCGACCTCCTGGCAGCGCCCCGGCCATGTGAGAGTGAGGTCCTTGCGAGGACCTCACAATCACATGGCCGGGATAGCTGGCTGCTGCATTGCCAGCAGGGGGGCTGCCTGTAATAACAGTTAGTCCCCCTGCTGGCTGGAAATAAAATTAATAAAGTGTAAAAAAAAAAAATATATCTACTTAGATGAAAGTCTGTGATACAGACTGAAACGTTGATTTTTATTTTGAGCTTATAAAAGCTAAGTTTTATTCATTCAACTTGGAAGTCCCTGGAGTGCTATCTTGTACTTTTGGCTGTATCTGTTTGCTGATAAGCACTGGGCAAGTACATCAAGGAAGGTGGAGTGCATTACTATTTTTGTTATATATATATATATATATATATATATATGATCTAAGTATATATATATATACACATAAACATACACACACATACACTGTCTAGGTGTATTTTACTATTAATATATATATATTAATATCAAATTACACGTAGACTGATACTGATTAAATATATATATATAATTATTGTTATATATATATTTATATATAATATAAAAAAATTAAATATGTAAATATGTTAAAAAAATAATTAAAAACATAATTAAAAAATATATAGATGTGTATTATTTCGTTCTAACTGTATTGTGATATTAATATATATGTCTATATCAAAATACACGTAGAACGAAATAATATATATATCTATATATACGTATATATCACTATATATATACCTATATATAAATAAAAATATATTTTTTAAATTATATATATATATATATATATTCACATACACATATATATACATATACTAATTCTACATATATATTTATGTAATATTTTTACATAATTAGGTATCTTAATTAATTACAATTAGCTGGACCTGCCTGACAACCCATGCCGAAAGTAAAGGGAATTTAATTTGCTAGCACTATATTTAACCCTATAACTTTCCAAGACACCATAAAACCTGTACATGGGGGGTACTGTTCTACTCGGGAGACTTCGCTGAACACAAATATTAGTGTTTCAAAACAGTAAAATGTATTACAACGATGATATCGCCAGTAAAAGTGACTTTTTTGCATTTTTCACGCACAAACAGCACTTACACGGACGATATTATTGCTGTGATACTTTTTACTGTTTTGAAAAACAAATATTTGTGTTCAGCGAAGTCTCCCGAGTACAACAGTACCCCTCATGTACAGGTTTTATGGTGTTTTCAAAAGTTACAGCGTCAAATATAAGGCTTGTGTTTCATTTTTTCACATTAAAATTCGCCAGATTGGTTACGTTGCCTTTGAGACCCTATGGTAGCCCAAGAATGAAAATTACCCCTATGATGGCATACCATTTGCAAAAGAAGACAACCCAAGGTATTGCAAATGGGGTATGTCCAGTCTTTTTTAGTAGCCACTTAGTCACAAACACTGGCCAAAATTGACGTTTTATTGCATTTTTCACACACAAACAAATACGAACGCTAAATTGGCCAGTGTTTGTGACCAAATGGCTACTAAAAAAAACTGGACATACCCCATTTGCAATACATTGGGTTGTCTACTATTGCACATGGTATGCCATTATGGGTGTAAATTTCATTCCTGGGCTACTATAAATTCCCAAAGGCAATGTAACCAATTTGGCGAATTTCAAGTTCAAATGTAACGTGCTATATTTGACCCTGTAACTTCCCAAAACGCCATAAAACCTGTACATAGTGGGTACTGTTTTACATGTGAGACTTTGCTGAATACAAATATGTGTATTTTATTGCAGTAAAAGCAAACAGTATTATGACATTGACAGTTAAAATGTCATGTAGAACTAAAAAAATTTAAAAAAATATTTTCTCCCATTTTTGTCATATTAAATTATGTTTCGTAGCTAAATATTTGATATTATATGAAAGCCCTGTTTCCCCTGAATAAAATTATATATAATAAGGTTGGGTGCATTTACTGTGAAAGAGGTGAATTACGGTTGGACAGACATGTAGCGCAAATGCCAGGTTTTGTTTACATTTTGTTTTGTTCACAACGTGTACATTTGGCTCTGTCCTTAAGGGGTTAAATCACTTTTGTTTCTGTTTATGCAGCCATAGACACACCTCCTCTGGCTGTGACTCACACAGGCTACATGAAAACAAAATGGTTTGATTTTCAATCAGATGTAACATACTTTAAAAGCTTTTATTGCCTGCTCTGTAAATTGAACTTTAAATACACACAGGAGGCTGTTGCAGGGTCTATCAAGCTATTAACAAAGTTGGAGGTAAAAATTTTCTTTTTTTTTTTTTTATAATTCTTTCTTTTATTTAGGCGTGTGATTTATATGGTAAAGCAAATGATAAAGGTACTATAACGAGAAAACACAGCATAAGATGGCATAGAGGTTTACACCTACATCAGCCTCATTTTTTCCAAAAATTGGGTAGTAACAGATAAACAGGCTAAGTATACTGGTCAGCTTTTAAGTAAGAACATGCTTCGTTAACACTGATGAATATGTCAGTAGAGAATTGGTAGAGAATTGGTAGAAAAGCAGAGAAATCAGGTTATACTAACTATACTAACTTTACTAACTGACAAAGTGAATAGTGTTAGTACACCCCCAAGACCCCTACAGTAGGTTGTTAGAGAGCAAGGGCCCTAATAAAGATCAGAACCCCATACTTTTAGAAGTAATTAAGAAGTAGTGAACTTAAAATAAGAATCTAAACTTAGACATAATCAGGCAAAATGTGGGTATCTGCACAGAAATGTGTATGGTAGCAAGAGTCACAGTCCCCTTTCAGCCTATGCCCCTCTGGGGTAGCTCATGGCTCCGCCGTGGTGGAGAGGTCTGCAGGCAGAGGATCCCATATGGAAGCCAAGATGTCATGCTGCTGCAGAGTAGTAACTTGTAAAGTCATTCCATCTTTCCCTCTACTCCGTTTCCAGTGTGTGACCTTGAGGAGTGTGGGTGGCAGAAGGGGTCACAGGTTGCAGCCTACCAGCAAGCTTCACACCAAGGGAGTTAAAAGTATGCTTCTGCCAGAGCTCCGAGAAGATTTTATCTTGCGAGGAGGGAAATTTAGCGGCCACCCTGGAGAATTTTGCTTGATGCACTGCTTCAGCCATTTTATAGTAAACTTCTGGTTGAGGCCACATGATGATGGTACTGTGGGTCTGCAGAGTCGTAGTAGTGGTAGGGGCCTCGAGGTGTGGACCGGGACCACCCACACCGTTCCTGGGGAGGTGGA